ATCACTACGACACCACCCGCGTCGCGGGGTACGACCTGCCCAAGGTCATAACGCACACCGCGTTTTCTCGGCAAATGGGCATCGAGGGACAAGACATCGCTCGCGTCCCCCTCCTCCACTTCATGCACGAACAGTGGAACAGTTGGTGGTTGCGTCACCTCGCCCACGGAGGCGAAGTCCGCATCGTTGTCGCAAAGTCGATGCCGGACTCAGTGTTTGCTGCTGGACTACTCAGCCAAATCCGACAACGGCACCTCGACCTGGACGCCCTCGCCCTCCATGTAGCCACGCAGGAGGGCGCCTCGACCACCAAACCAGCAGCCATGAAGCTACTCACCAACAAGATCTTCGGCTTCCTCATCTCCCTCCGACCCACCACTACGGCCGATCCGGCCTCCGCGGCCACCATACTCCAGCTTCAGCAACAGCTTGCTGACGCACACAACCAACTCGCCCAGCAGGCTTCATCCCCCCCTCTCCCCCCCACCCCCACCTCATCCAACAAACGCCCAGCCGATCCATCTCAGGCCTCCCTCCTGGACTTCGGCATGAAGCGACCACGGTTGACTACACCTGACACATCACCACAGGACGGATCCCCCGCTCTACCCCTGCCCACTCGCATTGCAGACGACTCCCAACCCCCCCCGGCTCCCCCCACCCACGGCGGCAACCCTCCAGCCCTCCACCCACGGCGGCACCCCGACCCCTCCCCCCCTCCCCTCCCCACCCACTTGGAAGGAGCCCCGCGACTTGCTCCAACCACCTCCCCACGTTTGCCAATGGCTCACCAGCAACTTCCCACCCGACATTTCCGACACCAAAGTCCAGCAATGGATCACCTCTCAGAAAACCAGCAAAGAGAGCAAACAAGTCCTAAAAAGCTGGTCCAACGACTGCGCAAAATGGGCAACCACACTGGACTCCGACACCAGAGCCCAACTCGAACGAGCCGCTGTGCTATGGGGCATCCCGGTGCGAACCCTATCAAAACTGGGGTCATCGGCCTTGGGCCGCATCCTGGCCGCTGCGAGTCACTTCTACCAGTGACTCTCAACAGCACACCGACAACGACGCACAGCCAGGCAGCACAAATTTTGGCAACACCACTGCTGCCAATTTCTCACTGTCCTCCGTTTCACTCTTCGGTTCTTCCCAACCGATGACGTCACCGCACGTCAATTTTGCTCCTGGCTACTCGCACAGCTTCAGCTACTTGACGTTTGCCATCTCTCCTGTGGTTCCGGCAGACTGAAAGCCCTGCTTACTCGACTTGGCCTGGACAACCCTGCTTCCGATTTCTCTTCTCAGCTTGTCCCTTCAGCGGTTTATCTGAGATTCACCAGCCATCCAAAGTGGCAGACCTTTTTCTACCTCGGAGCCACTCGCACCTCCCTCATGGCACGGGACCACAGCCGACTTCGCAAACTACTCCAAGTTCAGCGACATCATCTGGTCAATGCCGAACTGGCAGTCCGGTGGTGGGCACATTTTGACTTTTTCCACCACTACACCTCAGTGCCCATTCACACTGTCGTTCCGGCAACGGACCTATTTGCCACTGAACAGTTCTACATCCAGGAACTGCAACCGTCTCTCAATTTTGGCTTCATCGAGAAACATTTCCGGCCACGCACGGGCTTCATACGCCAATTGGACTTCTCCCAATCCCGGCACATGGGCTTCGCCACCATCTGGCGAAAACGCCGCCGACTACGACGACCCATCGCCCTACAACAGGCCTTCCTGGCCAAGCGCATGAACAACCGCCTAGATTTGTGGCGATTTTTGGGCGATCTTGGCAGCAACACTCTACGACGATTTGATGCCATCCGTTACATACGGAGCAGAGACTTCCCACCCACCGCTCTCTATGTCCTTCATCGCATAGCCACGCACCTGCCTGAACCACACCACCAGGCATGCCTTTCCGCCATTCGATCCAGTTTACGATTCCGGGGCCTCATTCCACCTGGCCCCTCCAGACCGATGCTTGCACCATTCCTCGCCCATCCTTCTTTCCGATCCCTGCTTTTAACCCAACTTCGCGGGTTTATTCGATCTACCACTCGCAGCGCCTTACCGTTTCACATGGCACAACCACGCATTGTCTTCAAGGCACATCGGAGACTCTCCAGTGCCTTGTTCTCACATCTCCAGGCAGCAAAAACCTGGAGCCTCGGTGAAACAACCTGCACATGCACCGACCTCGCCCAACAACACCCATCCCTCCCGAAGCATGACGGACACCTTCTTTTCTCCGGTGCAGACACCCATAAGCTGTTCGACTCCGACACTGCCCACATGCTATCCGGATCGATGCGCAACTCCTTCTTTCCTCCACGAGGGGTCTTGATGAGTCGCCTGACCCAGGCATTTCAACACTGGGCCAGGACCAACAACCTACCCGCGCTCGACCCATCAACCCTCACTACTATTGTCGAATTCCATTTCGACCTCCACCTTTCACACACATCACAGTACTTTCTTCCCGCCCACGTCCAACGGGCTCTGCATACCCTGGAACCCCTTGTCCGCCATTGCGAAGACCATGCGGACTCCCGACTCATGATCTATTGTCCCGTTCTCTACGGCAAGATGTTGGAAGCCACTTTTGCGGACCCTGCCATCTTCGCCCCTCTGCCGGTCCCTGCCATTGAGATCCACCAACGACTACGAGAAACCATTGTCACCAGATTCCGCGGCCGCTATCCTTGGGCCGTGACTGGATTCGGAAGGCCAGCCAACGCCTACATCCTCCCGAAGAGGAAGAAGAACTGGACCACTGCCCGACCCATCATCAGTTTCATTGGCGCCTTCTTCCGACCCATGCTCGACGCTCTCGCCAAGCTCCTCCACAGCATGGTGGCCACGGCTTGCCCTGACGCGTTTTCAGGTGGCGACCTCTTTGAACTCATGCGGTCCCTGCACGAGTTTCTAAGCCTCGGCCACACCCATTTGGAATTTGGACTACCGAAACCAGGACCTTTCCGGTTTTTTCACCTCCATCGACAAAGACCGCTTCTTAGCAGCCTGGCGACTACTGCTAACCTGGTACCGACAACGACAACCACACTCCTCTACCACACACCTCACAGTGGACACACTTGACACCTCTGCCATCACCCGCGTATACAACGGACGCCGTCGCCGACACAAACCCACACAACGCACCCTGTGGCTCGACGACATCCCCGAGATCATTCAGGCCACCCTTGACATGCAGATCTTCTCTGTCGGCCTTCGTTCATTCAGGCAAACACGTGGGGCACCGATGGGATCCCCAGCGTCCCCAGCTCTCTGTTTGATGGTGATCGCGGTCGCCGAACAATGTTGGACCAACACTCACATCACATCGGGACTTCGCTCCGTTGAAGATACTCTCCTGCTCCGCTACGTGGACAACAGACTCGTGATCGCAACCCCCAGGTGGCTCTCGACTCCGGCAGCCAACATACTGTGCGACGAACACTTCTATGGAGGAGACATCTTCCTGGAAACAGAAGCCGCCCTGGACTTCTTGGGGTTCCGACTGAACCTCACAAGCAGCACCATCTCCTTCATTCCCTCGCATGAGAAGCACAACATGCTCTCCGTAAAGTCAGCCGCACCAATGATACATAAGGAATCTGGATATTATTCCAGACGCACGCTGATCAGCCGAGTTTCCTTTCCTGAATTTCAGCGAGATCACGATCTTGCAATGTTGAAGAGGTTGTACCTCCAACACGGTTTCACCTTACAAAGAGAAGAAAAACCGTCCTTTGCGAAACCACACTGGTTTTCTTCTCTGCCTTTGCATCCTGACAGATTTGACCTGATTTTCGTACCACAGCTGTTTGACTGTTTGACTAAAATCCGTTGCGAGCATGGATACCAACACAGCACGCCAGCTGCTCCAAGACTTCGAACTCATCCTTGGCATTGCCCAACAAGGCATCGCCACCATCCGCGAGTTCACTGAGAGTCCGACTGCCGAACTTGATTTGGCACCGGAGGCCACGCTCAACCCCGCCATTGAGGACCTCTTTGAGCCACCTCCTGATGCTCCAGATGAACACCTTCCCACTGATCATGACGAACAATTCCCTGATCATTGGACCCCGCCCACTCCTCCTCCGTCTTCTCCCGACAAAAAACGAGCTCGCCGCACACGTGATTTGGCCCCCTCACGATCTACGGCATCCAAACCTGCTCGTGGACCAAGCGAAGCTACCACATCGACCAGGACTGATGCCTCTACTGAGGCCGAACCTGAAGCCTCGCAGCCTTGGACTGAGGGAGAGATTGAACTCCTCCGTTCCCTTAAGACCAATTCCAAAGCCAAGTATGCGGTCAGTCATCGCCACAAGACTTTCTCGCACAATTGATGCTTGCAAGACTCAATGGGCCTCGCACAAGTGATGTCGCCCCAGTTGGGGCTCCGTGTGTGTGAAGCGTCCTGGAGCACGGACGGAAATTCCACATTGCAGGGGGACTGGAGCCGATTTGCCTATCCAGTCCAATGAAGCTACGGCATTTCGGTGGATACCAGATCTGATCAATCCGGCGTACCTGCCTATTTCCTGACCCTCTTTCCTGATTCTTTTTGCGGTTTCTGTTTGTCGCTGTTGCTTCCTGTTCGGTGTCGATGTTGTGACCTGTTGATTTGCATTTGCATTCAAGCATTTTGACTGACTGCGTTTTGCATCTCGGCTAGTGAAGCCTCTCGAGATAAGTGTGTGTGTGTGTGTGTGTGTGTGTGTGTGTGTGTGTGTGTGTGTGTGTGTGTGTGTGTGTGTGTGTGTGTGTGTGTGTGTGTGTGTGTGTGTGTGTGTGTGTGTGTGTGTGTGTGTGTGTGTGTGTGCGTGTGTGTGTGCGTGCGTGCGTGCGTGCGTGTGTGCGTGTGTGCGTGCGGGCGTGTGTGCGTGCGGGCGCGCGTGTGCGCGTGCGCGCGTGTGCGCGCGCGCGTGTGTGCGTGTGTGCGTGTGCGTGTGCGTGTGCGCGTGTGTGCGCGTGCGCGTGTGTGCGCGTGCGTGCGTGTGTGCGCGTGTGTGCGCGTGTGCGCGTGTGCGCGCGTGTGCGCGCGTGTGCGCACGTGTGCGCGCGTGTGTGCGCGTGTGTGCGCGTGTGTGTGCGTGTGTGCGAGTGCGTGCGCGTGCGCGCACGCGCGCACTCAGTGCGCGCGTGGGCGCGCACGCGCGTGGGCGCGTGTGCGCGTGGGCGCGTGTGCACGTGTGCGCGTGTGCGCGTGTGCGCGTGTGCGCGTGCGCGCGTGTGCGGGCGTGCGCGTGTGCGCGTGGGCGCGTGTGCGCGTGTGCGCGTGTGCGCGTGTGCGCGTGCGCGCTTGCGCGCGTGCGCGCGTGCGCGCGTGCGCGCGTGCTCGCGTGCGGGCGCGCGTGCGGGCGTTCGTGCGTGCGTGCGTGCGTGCGTGCGTGGGTGGGTGGGTGGGTGGGTGGGTGTGTGGGTGTGTTGGTGTGGGTGTGCGTGTGTGTGGATTTGTGGGTGTGTGTGTGTGTGTGTCTGTGTGTGTGTGCCTGTGTGTCCGTATGTCTGGGCGTATGCATGTGTGCATGTGCGTGCAGTATGCGTGTATGCGGAGGCCCAAAACATGGCTTCGGTGTTGCTTTTGGTTTCCCCTTTGCACCAACCTTAAGAAGGGTACCCTCAAAAAACATAAGCCCAAAATTATCTTAGACGGCAGCATCCTAGCTTCAGCTGCAACTTGAGCCGGTGTGATGGACTGAGTCCTCGTTCAACCGCCCCAAAGTCCAACTGGATTGCGGTTGCACATGGGTTGCTCCAACGAAGCCCCCTGGAACCGAGCCAAAGGTCGATCACCTTTCGTATGTTTAAAAGAAACTCACTTCCGATTGAGGCGAACGGCCATGCTTCGATTCTCTTGGTGCTCAGTAGGGAATCAGGAAACGAACGCAGGCTTTGGTCCTCTGAAAAAAAGAAAAAACACCAGTTGGATGGGTTTTTATAGGAAAGTCATTCCATTTCACATTCCCTACTCGCACCAGGTCAAAATTTTGGGGCTGGCGAGCTTCTTCGATTCCTCACCTTCATCAGGCCCTGAAATGGCGCCGGCGCGCCACTGAGAGTCGTGGCCTGAGGCCACCAGCCGCCGGAAGTGGGGCAAACCTCTGACATAAATCTAGGGCCATATGGGGCGGTCATTTTTTTGTGGGTACAGTACCCCCCTTTTTTTGTCTAGTGTTAAAGGGAAATCAATGGAAAACCGAGATCGATTTTGGGGGGTCCCCTGAAACATGACACATGCATATGAGGTCTTGTCGAAATGTAGCGTGCGCGCGGGGATCCGCCTCAAAAAGCACTGGTTTCTGGCATGGATTGCTTCAAAGATATTCGAAGAGGAAAACTTCGACCAGTTAGCTCGTGGCAGGTTGGCTGACTGTTCCATGCGTCCCAATCAGTTGGAGCACGATGAAAAGGGACCTGAGGGGCCTTGGTGCCCTTTGAAAGCTTGGGGGGGGGGTACAACCCCTCCCACTTCCTGACCCCCCCTTGTTGCGGGTTTGACAAGCCGAACCTCTGTCAATGTCATGTTTGGGAGGATTCCTCTGGTAGACTCCAGACAAATCCGACGTGTGACTTTCTTTGAGGGTAGCCTCTTCAGGTCGGCTTAAAGAGAAGTCCAACCGAATAAACGGAAACCCTTCATTTTCTGGAGTGGCACATCCCCACTTTGACACGTGCCGCCATTCGGAGGTTCACAGCACTCTGGCCCCCATGAGTGTGCTATCAAAGACCCGCCCGTTCAGTGGTGGGTGACCCCCAAAATAAGTAGAATGACCCCAGCAACACCTGGGGGTCCCGGCACAATAAAGGTTCCGGTACGGCTTCCCGCAGCCACCGGCGATGCTTGGAAAATCCACGGCGCGGTCGCAGAGCCTTGAGCGAGTCCCCGAGGAATGGAATCGGGGCCAGCTAAGGGGCAGCAGGGGCCATGCTGAAACACGCTCAAACGGTATTGCTTGGACAACTTGCAGGCTTGACTCCCCATTCCCTTTATGCTTCTCAACGAAACCACCCATTGTTTCAGGGATTTGGTCGGATTCAAGAGAAGGATCTCTGCAAAGAATGAGCAAGGTGCGGCTAGAACAACCATTTGTGAACAACTGTTGCTGAGGCTACTCTTGAAACATGATTGAAACAACTATTGCGTAAACAACTGTTGTCAAGACTGTTGCTTGGACAACCTTCTCTCCTTCTACAGTTGGCCAAGCTGGAGCTATTTAAACACGTCTTGCCCAACCATGGAGGTGAGTGACAGTGGTAAGATGAATGTTCATCACTGGCGGACTCCATTTCGTTTGGTACTGCCCTTGGTCGAAAGGGCCCTTGTGCGCCTTTGTGTGGATGCCCATGTCACCGGAAGCCCTTCTTATGGGAGGCTTCGAGGCGGAAAGGCTCGATGGTCCTCGCTGCAGAGGTGCCACAAATACAGTTGAAGGGTCCGTGGCGCAATGGCAATGCTGCTGCTCGCTTGCGGTTGAAGCTCGCCACATTGCTCTAATTTTCCAGGGATTACTGGTTTCCGTGTTCACTATGGCAGGGCCATCCACAAACTCCTTCAACCGACCTAGATACAAAGAAAAACCCTTCATGTTCCTAGCACATAGCTTTTAACGGGTTATTGTGGTTATCTTCAACTCCAAGGAAATGGATTTGTCTCAAAGGTCCAAACAGATCGTTCCTTTGGGTTTCCCTCTAAACCAACCAAAAAAACGGGTACCCTCCAAAGAAGACCCAGCCAAATGGACTCACTGCGATGGTCAACGCTGAGCTCGCGGCTCGCGAACTTTCCAGTCCCCGGAAGACTCATCGATCTCGCGGCGCAACAAAAATCGGCGAATGGGGAAGCCGCCGCTTCGCCCCATGCAACGAATCGAAAATGGGCGCGGGGTTCCTGGATGGCCAGAAGCCAAAAGGAAGCCACGTCTAACTTGTTTGAGACACCCAAACGGGATTCCCAATCGGTGAGAAGTAGACTCCCTGCTCATAAGGGAAACTGAAGGAAAACCAGAAATGCCTTCTGGTTGACAAGTACAGCAAGCCAAGTCTAGCTATCACATGTCAAGTATGGAATGGACCACCCAGCAGAAAGGGGATCTTCATTCTTGCGAGCGCGAGAAAGAGAGGGCGAGAGACACGTTGCAAAACAATCCCCTTGGGCTAAACAGGACCCTTGCTTTGTTGAGGCGGACGCTAACAAAAGCGGGAGCGCCTGCAAGTAGAACCCAAACGGAGAGAAAACCATCGACCCCATTCTGAAAAGTACGTGCTTGAAAGGGTTTGTCTTCACATACGGACCCCCCAAATGGGTGGCTTACGCCAACCAACAACATACCAAGAAGCCAGCAAACCCGCGAACAAATGAACAAGTGAACAAATGAACAAATGAACAAATGAACAAATGAACCAACCAACCAACCAAGCAAGCAAGCAAGCAAGCAAGCAAGCAACCAGCCAGCCAGCCAGCCAGCCAGCCAGCCAGCCAGCCAACAAACCAACCAACCAACCAACCAACCAACCAACCAACCAACCAACCAACCAACCAACCAACCAACCAACCAACCAACCAACCAACCAACCAACCAACCAACCAACCAACCAAACCAACCAACCAACCAACCAACCAACCAACCAACCAACCAACCAACCAACCAACCAACCAACCAACCAACCAACCAACCAACCAACCAACCAACCAACCAACCAACCAACCAACCAACCAACCAACCAACCAACCAACCAACCAACCAACCAACCAACCAACCAACCAACCAACCAACCAACCAACCAACCAACCAACCAACCAACCAACCAACCAACCAACCAACCAACCAACTCACAAACCAACAAACCAACAAGCCAACAAACCAACAAAACAAAAACACAACAAAGCAACAAGCCAACAGAGCAACCAAGGAATGCAAACAAATATAACCGTAAACCAAGAAAACAACAACCACCAACGAATAAAACCATAAACCAACAAACCCAACAAGCAACAAATAAGACCATAAACCGGCAAACCAACTAACAACCAAACAATGAAACCATAAACCGGCAAACCAACCAAAAACGCAATATACCAACAAGCTAAGCAAGAAGCTAACCAACAAACCTACCAAACAAACAAACGAATGGATAGACTAATAGTATGAATTCTAAACTAAAACCCGCAATAGTTAGCTGACTTAGTCCCCCACTAATCCAAAAACAAGCTCAACAAACCAACACAAGTCTCAACAGGGGTCAAAACCCAGAATAACAAAACGCAAAGACAACTTAAAATAACCCAGCAAACCAAAAAGACAAGCAACATTGCCACCCATCTTCCGCCTCGTAGCGCACCAGCCGGAAGGCCCCTTCCATGGTGGACCAGTCGAACTTCTCCCAGACCTTTGCTTGGCCAGTTGTGGGACAAAAAAAGAAGCATAGGGCGTGTGATTCTTTTGTCGGAACCCCGATTTTGTGGGCTTTGAAGGGCCATTTTGGGATCACATTTTGTGACCAGCACATGTATGTTTTGAGGCTCGCTACTCTCGTGGGTTTGGCTCGCGGCCCTCCCATCCAGGACAAGTACTCACAGTGGCCTAGAACTCGCACCCTCTTCACTGCCCTGGTTGGCGGAAGAGGCCCAGCCGGCCGGCGGAGTAGTTGCCTCGTGGCATCCAGAACCAGCACATCCTCTGTGGCGGCCACCGTGGTTCTCCTGTGTGGAACCGACCAGTGACACTCTGCGGCTCCGCGAACGGGACACTCTGTCGTGGAGCCCGGTGAGTGTAGGGGACAGGCTATCCCCAATGCCACTCCTGCAACGCGCAAGCAACGCCAGCAACTCATCAGGGGGTCAGGCCAACTGCCTTGCCCTCTCCCGGCAGAGCCACCTTAGAAGGTGGCCTTCTGGCCTCGCCCTCATCAGGGTCCTCCCCCTTCAGTGGAGCCTGCATGGGCGGAGGATTCGCATCCCCGAGCCTGTCTTCGACCGCACCCGCCCTGGCGCTACATCCTTCTCCATCCTCTGGTCGCCGGCACCCCAAACCGGTTTTATTTATAGGGGGTGTTCCCCTCCAAAAGTGACGAACCCCCACTAAGGGAACAACCCCCTTTTAACCAACCAGGTGGCGTTATTCATGTTCCCATTACCCACAAAATACGCTAGGTAGTTTTTCGAACAGACGCGGAGCCTCCTGGAACCGAATCTGCGGAACCCTCCCTGCAAGCTGCTCTGAACTACGCCACAGCTTATTTGCGCAGAAACTGTCAGCTGTTGGACACTAAAATACCCACAAAGAAAGAGAGAGAGAGAGAGAGAGAGACATGTTTGGCATCTCAGGATTTTCAGCATCTCAGAAAGCTCCTCAAACGGAGGCGTCCGTCTCAAACGCCAAACTGGATTGTGCAAAACGGGGGATTCCTACTCCGATTTCCGCAATCCGTAGCCGGACACTACTGCAACAAGGGAAGCCACTGGACCAAGGTTTGATTTATTCCAACTGACCCTCCCACGTAGGGAAACTGCCAAATTTCGCTGGTTAAATGTGAACGAAACTGCAGTGGTCAGAATTTGTGAATTGGGTTCCTATCTGCCTCAAACAATGGTTCTTGCCAACCACCGCAACCACCACCACAACCACCGCTACCACAACCACCGCCCAACCTATCTACTTGACACCCCATCTTCCCATTTGGCTCGCAGGTTGCTTTTTGCCTAGCTGGCGTGGCCGAAAAACAGGGCCGCCTGGGCTCCCACAACCTGTGTGTGATAAGATCAATCTCGATGCATGCCCAAAAATGGACCTCGGTGCTCCTGCTGGTGCTCTTTTAAACCAACCTCGGTAGAAATCTCGTTGCGCCAACACCTTCTGAGGCCATCGCAATGCTTTCTTTTAATTGAACAGTCGGATTCCACCTGTCACATATGGGTGTTTCTGTTTCTAGGATTTGGACCCGCAAAATGATGAGTATCCTCTTGTTTCCCCTTTAGAAAAAAGGTACCCCAAATAAAGACAGACCCAGGTTCTGGTGAACATGTTGTTTAGTCAGCTTCCCTCTAATCGGTGGTTTGGATTGATGCTAAAATTTAATGGGTTAGGGGGGGGGTGTCCCATTTACCCAAGAAGCAGGGTTTCGAAGGTGGGTGGGTGGGAGGTGTGGTGGGAACACTAGAAAAGCAGATTGAGGGTTCCTTTTTGGATGGTTTCAAGCGGAACTCAAAAGAAATGCCAAAAACCATTTTGGGCGGTCCCCTAAGTTTAAGACAATCCCATATTTGTTTAGCCAATTCGAATTGGGTTGCCTCACGATGTGGACTAGGAAAACACAGTCCCAAATCGAACCGTCTTGGGTCCCTTGGTTTCAATCCCCGTTGGTTTAACCGGAACGAACCCCCGTGTTGGGGCAAACCCTATTGATTCAAACAGACACATCCATGTTGATTGCAGGGCATCCCAACTCAAAACTTCTCGAAATGGAAATGGGGGGGTCAAACTTCCCCAAAAAAAAATGGGGGGAATGGGGGGGGGGGGGGGGGGCGGGGAAATCAAAACTCCCGATGTCTGACACCTCCACGTTCACCGTGGCTCCGCGCCGCGCCCTCGCCCTTGGAGGCCTCCCCCAGGCTCAGCTCCGGCGTGCGGACCTCGAGAGGCTCGGCTTTGCGTCCGGCCCCGGGCGCGTCAGAAGCAAGGGGTCATTTAAATATATATATATATATATACATTTATTGTTATTTAATTATTTTTTATTTTTTTATTTTAAAAAAAAAAAAGACGTCAACACCATCAAGCTCCAAAAAACCCTCTGCCTGTTGCTTGTTGCCCGGCGTTCTTTTGGGAGCTCTTTGCGACCCTTCCTAAAATTGACCCTCATATCATGTTGCCTTTTCGGGCCAAAAAAACAACAGGCTGGGCCAAAGTTGGGTGTCGTTCTTTCGGAGCTTTTGTGGTTGAGGTTCACTGGGTCCCCCATGCCGCTCCCGAATGAACCACAGACTACAGGAAATGGACAGTATCTGTTGTGTGCCGCAAACATCGGGAATTTGGTGAGTAACCTGACCAGGGTTCTCCAACCTGCGAAGCATAATGTTTCAGGTGTTGCTTGCCCACATCAAAAGAGAAGGTCATGTTACGTGTCAACCCCAAGTGAAATATCCGCAGATGGTGTACTAATTCCAAGACCTGAAATAAGAATTGGTATCCCCGGACAAAGGACCTACACGCTGAGCTCGGTTTATCTCCGGCCCACATCTGAGGTACAGGAAATCATAAGAGTCTGCTTCATGTTTAGTGCCAAAAACGGTATTTTCGAGGAGAAGAAGCATGTTTGGAGCCACATGAAAGAATGTTTCTCTGATCAGACCTGCGGAGAGTCTACATGGTGGGCATGTGTTCTTTGGAGCCAAATGATTCCCTTTCGGCTTGAAAGGGAACCAAAGAAAAAATGAAATCCATGTTGGTACACCATATTTGGGAGGGGGGGGACTTTCTCAAAGGCTGAAGGGGAGAAAAAGTCGAAGAGTCGAGACAGACAGCTACCAAGGATGTCACACTCAACAAACTAAGTTGCTTTTCACGGCAAGAAATGCGTGGCAGAACGGCTGGTGATTCACCCTAGAATGCGAGCGTGGCTGGACGCCAAAGGCAGTCGTGTTGGATCTGTTTGAGGAAAGCCTTTCAGAGTTTGGACCAACAACCCCTCACACACATATGTGTCAAATTGGGGGTGACCCACAAAACGTTGTTTTACTTTGGCTTCCCTTTCCATCAAGCTGAAAGGGGCACCCTCCAAAACAACGCCTGCAAGCCTGCAAGAGGCTTGAGGAATGGCTCTCTCCCAAGCTCCTTGAACTCTGGGCCGATCTCTCAAAATAAATAGCACCTGATCCCATTTAGTTGCACCCCCATTTGGCAGGTCCACAACCATCCTCACGTATGTGTCACGGCTACCACGGCGTCACGGGCGTTCCGTGGACTGGCCTTGAACATGCAAGTTGCCAGACAGAAGCCGGGCCCAAGGTGAAGGGAAACCCCACTCGATCCTTAGACCTCTGGTTTCATACTATGGATGGACCAAATGCTACACCAGTTGGCATGATCGAAGCCCCATGAAAAAATAGGACAAGACAAACGGATCAACACATGCGGCACACGCCAAACCGTTAGTACCATCTGGTTGTGGCTCAAAAATTGGTACCCAAAATGGCACCTTGGGACATGGAAACAAAGACTCAAACCTGCGTCACCCTTGCACATTCATTTGAGCCATACCCATTTAAGTCAGCCCCCCCAAGTAGGTTAAAGGGAAGCAAACCGAAGCGCTGACTGCGATAACCCCCAAAAACAGTCGAAATCACGGCGACAAAGCCCCACATTTTGATCCTCCGGTTTCTCGTATGTCTATGGCTATCAAGCACAAAGAGAGTCAAGTCACCCCTCGTCCGTATGATGTCAACCCCTGACTACGACGGGTGGTATCTACGACACAAAACCAGGGTGTTTTCGAATATACTATATAACTAAAAAGCCCCGTTGAGCCGACTTTGCAATGAGTCCCAGGCCATGTCGACCACCAGCTTGCCATCGCTCTCAAAGCCGTTCGCAAAGTGGAAGCAGAAGTGCGTGTCCACATCCACGTACCTAGCTTCAGACAGGGTTCCTAGGATCATCTTGCCCGAATTCAAGACTTGGCGTATCCTTTCACCGTAACCCTGGCCAAGACTTCTCCCCAACGGGTGATGTGGCGAGTGCCCGCCAATGAAACTAAGATCATACAATCATGGTTCCACTCATGGTTGTAAGAAGCTACCTTGTCTGTGATTCCTTTCCCTATGACTACTTTGTTGCTCCAAACGTGGATTCTCTCAGTATCACAAAAAGTCAATTTTCCACGCCCCACGGTTCCACTCCAATCCCTTGCAATGATGGTATGATAGCGCAGGTCCGGGGTAGCTGGCCTAGAGTTGCCCACCAGAACAACTTCCTTCCTTTCCCGGGAATGCCGCTATGGCGCGTGTTTTTTTCGCTTCCCGTATCACATGCAAACGGGAACTAGATGAACACCAGCGGCTCAACAGGGCGCCCAGTTTTGACAACCTCCGCAAGGTGTGTCTTTTTGGGGACCCCTGATTGGTTGGAAGGGAAAACCAAAGCAAACCGATGCCGTTTTGTTTGCTTCCTTTCAAGACACGCCCACAAGTTCGGTAGGCTTCCATCAAAGGGCCGCGCAGTTCCACCACCGAGCCTCCTGGGATTTCTTGCTGAAAGCCATGGCGCAAGAGCGCCACATTGGGTCTGTATCAAAACGGGCAACCACCCATGACGGACAGAAATATGAGAGCAGTATAACTACTTTAAAGCTTAAAAAAGAGCTCCCCTTGGCGTCGCACGAAGTGGCTCTAAAAAGGTATTCGCCACAACCATAAAACCCCATTTGACTTTCCTTCCAAACCACCCACCCTCAAAACAACCAAGCATCCCCATCCAAACTGTTGCAAAGCATTTCTTGCCCCGCCTCACACCGGAGCCATCGCGCGACACCTGCAGAAAGCACGCGCAAAGTTCTGCCCAAACTCAGCGACGCAACACTTGTAGCTGAGAAACAAGAAAACGACCTCAGCTGTGATGCCAGTGATACTGGGTGTGTGTCTGTGTGTGTGTGTGTCTGCGTAATGCTGCTGATCAATGTAGGCACGGAGCAGTGCCAGTTCAGCAGCTATAGGATGATGCTGGTGATGCTAGGGGTGCTGGCGCTTGTGATGTTGTGTTTCCATCGGAATGTAATAATCGTTAGGCCAGCTTGGCCAAACATACAAAGAAAAAGAAAGCAACGTGTAGAGGGCTGGACTTCATCCGCAAAGCCTTCCAGCACCCGAAAACACTCCACACCTAACCACTCCCAAAGTCTTTGAGGTCCGTCTGGGTCAAAAGCTCCTCCCATCCCTTCCCGCCGAACTCTCAGCCACCCAAGCCCTGCCAAGCAATCCCGCGATCCCGCCAGCACGATCTGCGACGGCTGGGACTTGTCGAAGGTGATGGACTCGCCCATGCCCCTGGCGCACCGCTGCTTCCGTTCAAGCGCCAGGGGCGATTTTACTCGGAGAACCTGCAAGGGCAGGGCCCTTTCAATCATTCGAAGGCGCTTGCTTGCACTTCAAAAACCAGGTCATGATAGGGGCTCATGTTCAGATTCTGGTCCATAGTTGGTCTTCCTAAGATTTACAATGATTTTCAAGGAGGCCCAGTGAATGGTATTTTGGGTGTTGTTTGTGGATTTGACCTCCTGGTGCCTCAGGGGGAAGGCAACAATTTCACATATTTCACTTTGTTAAATGGCATCTGCAAGCGAAACCAACCAAGTCCACTCAAACACCAAGTGCTCGTGCGTTCCTGCGGGCGGGCGCTTGCGCAGTCGTGTGTGCGTGTGTTCGTCTGTTCGTGTGTTCGTGTGTTCGCGTGTGCGTGTGTTCTTTTGTTGGTGTGTTCGTTAGTGTGTTCGTGTGTTCGTGTGTTGCTTGTTTGCTTGTGTGTTTGTGTGTTTGTGTGTGTGTGTGTGTGTTTGTGTGTTTGTGTGTTTGTGTGTTTGTGTGTGTGGGTGTTTGTGTGAAATGGTGTGTGTGTGTGTGTGTGTGTGTGTGTGTGTGTGTGTGTGTGTGTGTGTGTGTGTGTGTGTGTGTGTGTGTGTGTGTGTGTGTGTGTGTGTGTGTGTGTGTGTGTGTGTGTGTGTGTGTGTGTGTGTGTGTGTGTGTGTGTGTGTGTGTGTGTGTGTGTGTGTGTGTGTGTGTGTGTGTGTGTGTGTGTGTGTGTGTGTGTGTGTGTGTGTGTGTGTGTGTGTGTGTGTGTGTGTGTGTGTGTGTGTGTGTGTGTGTGTGTGTGTGTGTGTGTGTGTGTGTGTGTGTGTGTGTGTGTGTGTGTGTGTGTGTGTGTGTGTGTGTGTGTGTGTGTGTGTGTGTGTGTGTGTGTGTGTGTGTGTGTGTGTGTGTGTGTGTGTGTGTGTGTGTGTGTGTGTGTGTGTGTGTGTGTGTGTGTGTGTGTGTGTGTGTGTGTGTGTGTGTGTGTGTGTGTGTGTGTGTGTGTGTGTGTGTGTGTGTGTGTGTGTGTGTGTGTGTGTGTGTGTGTGTGTGTGTGTGTGTGTGTGTGTGTGTGTGTGTGTGTGTGTGTGTGTGTGTGTGTGTGTGTGTGTGTGTGTGTGTGTGTGTGTGTGTGTGTGTGTGTGTGTGTGTGTGTGTGTGTGTGTGTGTGTGTGTGTGTGTGTGTGTGTGTGTGTGTGTGTGTGTGTGTGTGTGTGTGTGTGTGTGTGTGTGTGTGTTGTCTGTGTGTGTGTGTGATTGTGTGTGTATGTGCATTGTCTGTTTTTTTCAGGAAATCAAATGGACACTGCCCAATGGGTTCCTGACAAGTCACAAAAGATTGAATGCTTTTCATCTACCCTCCCATGCAAGCTCCCAGAAGGTAAATAGACCTCAGTGTTCCGATGTGGTCGTTGCAATTTCTGGAACATAAAGCTGAAATTAACGCACCCTCCATCCCAATGGAAGCTGATAAAGAGTGGGAACACTACTTTTTCTTGGGGAACTATCCACTTCCAAAGTCCCCAGGGGAGGGTAAACATTTCCCCAGTTTACAGGACCGGGTGAAATCGCCCGAAAATACAAAAATAAAAACGTGAGCCCGAAACTCATGTTCATCGGAACGCCGGAAAACTGTGTGTGTGTGCAGAGCCCACCCAACCTCGTAGCTGATCTTAAGAGCGCGTCTCTTCCAACATGGAATATGTCACTTAGTTATTCTTTTCAAGTGAGAAGGCATTATCAATCCAGCAACATACCAAATATGTTCTACAAAACTGAAGAAAAAGAAAGTTGTTTGCAGGATACCCTCCATTTCGGGTCCAACGCCCTACTTGGACAAACCCAAAATGGACTTCCTCACCAAGCCCCCCACATGAGGGAGAAAAAACAAACGGCCGGAGCCACGCCTGAAGCCCAGCACGGCCTGCAGGGCGTTCTGCGGAGACAGCTCGATGGGCGGCTTGCCTCGCTTCACGCGCTTGGAACGGGAGCCATCACCCAAGGGTGGGAAACACGGTAACCTTGGTGTGGTTCCAAGGGTAGGAAACACGACAACCTTCATATGGTTGCGTGTCTCTTTTAAGGGACCCAAAAGTAGGAAACGAGACGGTTGCGGGTCCATTTACTTGGCAAAGGGACGTCAAAAGGAACACCAAGATCCATGTCGGGAGTCCAAATCCTGAGAGACACACAGGGAAGTATATACCCCACCCCCTTCTCTTTAGAGTTTCGGGCCGGTTGCTGTTCTCGTGCCTCCTCTTTTTCTGGTAGTTGCCTTCTAAGCGAGACCCCTCCAAAACAAGCCAACATAGCGACCTTTTGGAAAATCGATGTCCCTGGTAACTGGAATAAGGCAAATCTGGGCCAGTGGAACCAATCTACGCCTCACCAAGCTCTGCAATAAAAGCCACCCATGAAAGCCAAACGAAGGGAAGCCCTCCGATTCCAAAGCCAAACCCCGGGCACCACTGGGGGGGGGGGCCACAACAAGCAGAGTTGATTGTTGAGACCTGTTCGAAAGGAATGTGCCCAATGGTCAAACAAGCAAACATACATACAAACAAGCACCTGTATGGCAGCAGAACGATGACAAACAGCAAATATGGCAAGTGAGACCTCGCTGGACTAGAAAAAGAACAAAAGAATCGATTGCTCCACCGTTTGCACTCCGGCAGAGCAATTTGCAGGAATCGTTCGGGGGGTCCCTACTTGCATGCTCAAGTGTGGCGTCCGATAAGCCCCTTGAGGATCAATGCCAATTTCTTCTTACCCCACCAGCATCGGACCACGGCAGCAGGCACAGTTCCCCTCAGAAAGAGCCTAAATGAACAGTGCCTTTGCCGTGCACTCCCCAAATCAAATCAACTAATACTGAAAAGCGGAACCCCCTTCCTCTGGATGTTATGACTTATGGTTCTGTTGAATGTTTAAAGTAGATATTTCTTGCTTCTTTCCCTCTCTCTTGGGGTGTGGGTGTGAGTTTGCAGCTTCGCAGAGTCCTGTAAGAGGGGGGAAGGGGCATTCTGGGCTCCACGGAGTCTGCCGCATCCCGACCGAGGGCCCTGGCTCAGGATGAAGTAATTCTCCGTCACCAGGAAATCCTCGGCTTGTCGGCGCCCTTTTGACGCTCAGTCAGGTTCTGTGGACGGAGACAACTGGTTCAAATCCCAGTTCAAAAGTTTGAACTTTGCTTTGGGTTGCCACCAAAAAAGAACTCCCCCACCCCCACTGACACCTGATGGAACTTGGGTAAGTACCGAGGATGGCTAAACCAAAATGGGGGGGTGGTTGTGTCATCTACTCTCACCCAACTGTAACATGTGCTTATTGTTCCAAATACGGGGACTCCCCAAAATGTGTGTTTCTTTTTCCCCTTTGAAACAACCGAAACAGGGGGTAAGCCCCGGATTGGTGGTCCGCCTCTCTTTCATAGGCCCTTTTCATATGCGCGGTCAGATTTACAAACGTTCCCCAAGAGGGCATGGGGAAACTTGGTGAGTCCAATGGTTTTTTGTGGGGGAATTGGGCAAGTCCTCCATAGATTGCTGGAAATATACATCTTCTTGTCGTCAACAGAACGGAATGGTCCCAACTGAACCCAATCTCCTGGCCCATACTCTCACAGTTCTTGCCGGCTATCAGCAATCCGACATGTTACATCCTTCAGACATTCTCAACCTAGTGCAACTCTGCAAATTGGCGATCTTGTCATATGCGGCATAATTGTCCAGCTTGGGACATTTGGCTAATACTCATACAAATGCTGGCAATTGGTAAATGAGCAGCGCCCAAAACCCAGGTTCTACCAGCAAGGTTAAACAGGTTTACGTGTGCCTTACTATAACTGTTGCGGAACTACTAAAATGGCCCTTCTGAGAGTTGTTTTTGGTTTTGTATGGGTGTAAAACTAGAGGAAAACACCACCAAAGTGCCAAAGAGGAAGCCCAATTTGCCGGCAGGCGCACAACCTGACGTTGCAGTTCAGTTTCTTGGTGTGGGGGGGGAAGGAGTGCTCCAAAGAAGTTGGACACGACCACAGTTTGCACGGCACTTATAGGCAAACCGAACCAGGTCCAGGAGTTCGCTTCTTGCCATGTGGAGGTCTCGTGTATAGTGACTTGGACTGCCCCAACATGGTTGGTTTCCCTTCATGGCTTGCCTTAAGGTGTCGAGCCTCAACGAACACGCACCAGACCCATTTGATTTAAGCCTCCAGCTAGGGCATCTAACTCCAGTGGCCCGTTGCTCTTTGCTCAGCGGTTGTTTTGTCGGCTGGGCCCTCTAAAACTAGCAGCTGCATGGATCGCCACGTGGTTTCCGGTTAAAAACACAGGCCAAAAGGGTCGTCGCCATTGTGCAGAGATCTGGGCTTCACCCAAAGCTCCAGGCTTCGCGCAAAGGTGCCAACTCAAAGAAACAAAACAGGCATGCCCGGGATTCTATTTTGAGACCCCCCCCTCCTCCCCCGCCGCGCGTGGAACCTCAAAGGGGACGCTAAGTTCATCTTTCCTGAGGTCCATGCGCAAAAGTGCCTCCCTATGTTTCCCAAAACCAAGCGACTCCCCCAACGTCGAAGGCTCCACCGAGACCCCGGCATGGTAGAAGCCGAAGCCCGGGAGCTCCGCGTCCACCCGCGAAGCCAAGGCCAGGTCTGGCGGCTCGTGATGCGCGCGTGACACATCTGTGGCGATGTTGCCCCCAGAAAGTTGCTTCACCGTTGCAGGCTGGTGGGAAAATAGCAGAAAAAGGTTCATCCAAAAAGGTTCATCCAAAAAGGTTCATCCAAAAAGTTAAAGGTTGAAGATCCAACCCCATAGCATTCAAAGCTGAGTTCGCCATTAGGAAGGCCTTCTGGTAGCAGTGGAAAGGCAATGCCAGGGAGAAGAGGGACTGGTGGGGTTTTGCCTGCAGTCCCTGCAGAGTAAATGCAACCCGCAAGCAAAACGACGACTGGGCCCCCAAACGAAAGTACACATATGTTCATATTATGTGTTATACTTCGCCACGCTAGAATATGAAACCATTTTGGAGGAGACCCCAGCCCCAGCTTGCTCCGAAAATTCCATGTCGCCCACCTGAACATCTAAACTGCTCTGAGCCTAACAAGCTTTCTACCCTAAAGAAAGGAGACCCCGACATTCACCGTCCACCACTTGACTCCTTGAGCGCGAGCAATTCGCCCCATCGAATCGATCTCCCGGGGCTTCGCCTGACGTGAACTCGAAGAAGGAGACCTCAAAGCGGAAGCTGCACCAAATGGGACAAACCAGACGACCCTATGGGAGTCTCTCAAAACAGGAGCAGTTTACGTCCAAATGGACGGGGGGGGAGTTTTCCGCGAAGACCTCGAATGCGGCTGGCATTCGTATCGTGCTTTGTCAGTGATATGTCATTATGGGTGTTCTCTTCGCGCAGGACATTTATCTGACCTTTCTGAGTGTGCAAAGCAGTCGCTCGTGGCATTTTGATATTGCCGATGGTAGCCTTGCTCCCCAGCAATCCACGCCAGCACAGATAGCTGCCTAGTTTGCCTTGCTAGGGAGCTTTGATTCACACACCTCCAAATCGATTCAGCACATAATCCAGCATTGCATTTCGTTATTGACATTTTGCTTGTCAATGGGACCAATGCGGATGCACTGACTTGATATTCTTTTCAGCCTTGCCAGGCACATGCATGATTTCTCTGTGCGGTATTGCCTCGCCTGCAATGGACTGATTTTTCGGCGGGCTCAGTGCTCTTCCCAGTGAGTCGTTGCCCATTGCTTCGTGTGGTGTTTCGCAGACTGAACTTTGCGTGGGTATTCTGTTTTATGCTGCCTTCGGGTGCTTTTTTTTATTGTTCAATGACCGGGCTGTGAGCGTTAGGGGCTTTGCACGCCTGTATAGCTGTTTTTGCTGTGGGTACTTGCTGTAGTTCGCTACGAAGTACCATGTGCCTGCAGCTGGTTAGCTACGAGGCCACACCCAAAGAAATGCACAGCAGCAGCCACTGAGCTGCCGGGCACGATAGTGCTTGTCTCAAGAACGCTAGGCGTCATTGGCGCGTGCGTATGGAAAGGAAAAGAAAAGAGAGGGGGGAGGGGGGGCAAAAACCCGCACCACCTGGTCCACTTCAAAGGGAGACAAAAAGGAGCTTGTTTGGGAGGTCTTTTTTGAGGGTGCCCGTTTCTTCTGGATTGAAAGGTAAACCAAAAGGAAAACCACAGTTTTACGAAAAACACAGCCAAATGGAATTCGGACCCTAGGCTATTGGGTGCCAAGATGAAGCCACCACGTCACCTCCAAATAACCTTCCCTCTGTTTCTTTGGCAGAGTAGCAAACAAAAAGAGAAAGAGGTATTTACCCTGGAAAGCCCGGTTGTTCAAACTATGTGCATTCGAAAAAGGGATGACAATTTGGAGAAAAAACAACTTTTGGGCTGGTATGTAAAGGGAAATCAAAGAGGAAACTCTTGCCATTGTAGGGGCCCGATTCCCATTCCGAGAAACACCCAAATGAGGCATGTCAGAAAGGCTGTTTGCGGGGTTTAAACCAAGGTAGAAAGAGTACTCTCAAAAGTCACAAAAGGGAATCCACGTGTGCATCGGAAATCCAATGACTTCTTCACTTGCCACTGAAAACAACCTTGTCAATCACGGATTCTTCCAAGTTCCCTTGCATCACAGAAGTGGGGACCGACGCAAAACCCTGAAACCAAGACTTCATATTCGAAGGCCGTGGATGTGTTTCACCCCACTCCTTGGCATCACGAATGAACATCCAACCTCCATCACTCTGCCTCAGATGTTCCCGTTGAAAGGGAAAAAATATCTTCCCGGCACCTCCCACAAGCTTGATGTTGGGAAGGGTAGTTGAACCAACCCCTGCCCTGAAACCTAGACCCCTCTATGCCTCCATGTTCGGCTCATGTTGCTTCTGTTTCCCAAGCCAGGCTCCCCTTAACCCGCCTGCGTCACACCGTTCACGGGCTCCGGCCGGTAGTTGAAGCCGAACTCAGTCCCCCATGGATCGCTTGGCCAAAATGCCACAAAATGCGTTTTGAAGCTTGCGGTGGCCTATCGGGTGCATGGTACAAAGGATTCCCGTTAAAACATATGATCTTAGGCCGAATGTGAAGCACCCTGATCATCTGACACAGGACTGCTGTGAAACAAACCCAATCTGAGCTTTGTTTGCTGGTATCCCAAGTTGGGTTGAACCGTTGTTGGTGGCTGTTTAATGGAAACCAATAGGAAACACGACTAGTGGCTTGCTGAGGGAAGGCAAAGGAGAAACAACATAAGGAGGTACTCTGATGCATGGACTGTAAACCAAAAGCACTAAAGACTTTGCCATAGCATGACACCCATGATAGGAAATATCCCTTGCAATGGAATTCGGGTGTCCTGGCGGTTTCCCCTTAAACACCAACCAAACGAGCACCGTCCCTTTTCCCCGTCCGGGCACGCCTGGGTGCCGTTGAAGTCCACCCTGGGGTGCCTCAGGGCCGTCATGACCGCCCACCCATTTTCACCCATGGCTTCAAAGGGAACCCGAAGGAAAGAAACTATTCTAGTGCTATCTTCCCCATTCTTTCCAGGGATCCTTCTTTCTACAAAACTCCCGGAAACCCAGGGGAACGGCCGGTTTTTGAAAAGAACGATGGTTAAAAAGAATGGGGAATCAACCGTTAGAACTATCCACTCACTTCCCACGAGGACTGGCAAAACAAAGGAAACCAAAGTTGTACTTCCCAAGCACGCCATCAGGCGCGACCAGGCGTCGCGCAGCATCACGGGAGCAACGCAGGTCAACTGGAACTCACCCTCCGGACGTTACGTTGAAACAGGGTGGGGGGGGGGTGAGATGGGAGGATTATGCTCACGTTCATTCCACCTGCGGGATCAACGTGCATTCCACTTGCACACGCACTGGAAGTCAGGGAGTGAAACCATCTTTAAGCGTCCCCTTGGGCTCAAAATAAGCAACCCCAAAATTGGTGGCTTCCCCCTATATAAGTTCCCTTCAAACAAGCCCCAAAGTGCCACTCCTCACCCAAAAAACAAATGTCCATTTGGGCATGCCTCTTTTGCGGGTACCCCCTTGTTGCGGTTGGTCTTAGAGGGGAAACCCACCAGGGAACCCACCGCTTCACGGCTCGCGCCGAGGAGCGCCGTGAAGGGCTCCTCCTCCGTCAGCCCGCCGTTGAGGTCCGACTCCCCCAGCGTGGCCAGGCTCTTAGGATCCAGCCTCGGGGCTTCGGAGCGCGGAGCGCGCGGAGGGCTCGGGGCTCCGAAGCGGAAACCCGAGGCATTCTCGTGCCAGAGCCCTTGCATCCATTCGGAAGATGGGCTTGGGGAGAAAGACCTCCATTTGCTGTTTCATGGGGGAAGCGGAAGGTGGAGGGGAGAAATTTCAGGGTAGTTTTTAAATGAAGACCCTTTGGGACAAGCCACCCTTAAATTTGGCGAGATGGGTGTGAATCAGGGGTAAGAGCCTGAAAGGCGGATGCGCTCAGCGAGTCAAGTGGGTATGGATCTAAGCGGTGGCTGTCCTTTTGGCTTCCCTGGAACCAACCCCAGTACACGTGTGACAACTGTGACACCTGGGCAACAGATGGGCTGACATGCAGAAAATTGTGGGGTCATGATCTCATTTGTGTACGGGTCCAAGCAGAATCCAGGTGGCTCCTGATCAATTCACTTTGTATACCCTCGATGGCTTGGATTTGTTTGAAGGTTTCCCATTGACCCTCTATGAGAAGCAGGGGTTCGAATCCCTCAACCACCGCTGCGCCGATGTCTGGGTCGGATCCTACCTCCCGAGCTCTATGATCTCCTCGGTAAGCACTGCTTCCTTTCCGGATCCAAACACGGTTCCGAAATCACCAGATGAAAGCCACCTCAGCGAGGTCTTTTCACATCGGATGCACAAGGCGCCACCGGGATGCTGCCAATGGATCTCGTCCTGCCAGATCCTTCCGACGGCTCCACCCAAGTTGCATCATGGTGGCCATCTGGCTTCCAGGGAGTTCCGGACGTCTGAAGCCAACCAAATCACCAACCGAGGATGACCTGATCAAAGGGCTACTCATTAAGCTGCAGGTCAAATTCACACAACGGCCTGTCATTCACAAACGCGTTGCTTTGGGGGAAAACCAAGCACATTTCACCAACTGAAAATAATGGAGCGGCAGGATCTCTATAAAAGGAAACTTCATGGGTGATGTCGCAAACCCCCCAGATGTGACGGTGTTACAATTTGCCCAGTGCTTCCAGCTAAGCCACTATAGGTTACCAGTATGCCTCTATTTTCAACCAACCTCATCCAAAAAGCACCCCTATGTCGCGCTTCTCTTGGGCTCGGTTCCAACTTGTCAAGCTTAAGGACTTGGGGGGGCTCGCTGCTGGTAACATTCATCAAGTAGCACGCAGATTCAAATTGAATTGCGGGATGCAAGTCTCCAAGTGATCCGGATCCCCCAAAAAGGGACCGCCCTGGATGAACCAGAGTCTACCTTGAACCCTTAAGAAATAGGCTCACATGCATAAAATTAAGGGGTGATCCCATGTTTCAAGGGTCCAGGTGGCTCCTGATCAAACCATCTTACCCTTGCTGGTTTGCATTCGTGGTTTGGGGGTGGTTTCCCATTGACCCTCTACAAGACGCAGGCGGTGGTATGTGTCTAAAACGGGCAACTTACAATTGGGTCCAAAAAGGGCAAGCCTGAAACGTGTTCACCCTCAAAATGCCGCAGCTTGACAATGCAAGGAGACTTAGCCCTGTCCGTTGGTGACATTTTCAATGCAACTGCGAAGCTATGAGAACGCGGAGTAGCGTAAAGCTGAACTCAGTCATGACCATGGGAAGATCATGTTAGTAACAGTTGATCCTCTTGTACTCAGTGCGTGCAGATTCAATGGAAAACCCACTTTCCAAAAACTACTCCACAGGGCCATAGACAGTCACCGGCTCAAGTCGTGTAGCCAAAGTGCGCGAAAAGATGTATGTACTTCGAACTGCCGGGGGCGTGTATGTTCACGCAAACTCAGTGTTTTGCAGGCAACGATGCTGTGGAATGGGACCCTTCAAAGCTGGAAGGCCTCCTTTTGGCTCACAGGGTCATCGGAACCACAAAGACAAAGCCAACTTGCAGATGTTCCCACATGGGTTTCGGCTGGCGGTGTTCTGGCCCACTTCCGTGGATGGGCCCGTTGGCTCTTAGCCAAACTCGCCAAGCCAACACCGTTTCCCTCCATTTGCTTAGTCGTCCCCTGGAAGAACCAATAACATGCCCAGTAGTGATAGTTTCCCTGTAAAACGAATGACATGTCCAGTAGTGATTGCAAGATTCCCTTTAAAACCCACAGCGGAATATGAAACAAATGCTCATTTGGCCATGGGTCAAAATCCCGTACTTTCAGTGAACATCCCAATCCCCACTAAAATAGGTTCTAGAATGGGTGCTGAATTCACCTACCCCAATTGGGATCAATGGGATCCCAAAACGGTTTTGACCAGCCCCGAGGCCATCGGGTCCCGTGCTCAAAGGGCTTGCCGGCCTCCCAGAGCGCAAAGAGCCGCCCTGGCGGCGAAGCCGGGGGCGAATGTGCGGAAGAGTGCCTCCTTTTTGAGGGTACCCTTTTGGTGGTTGTTCTAAAAAGAGGCAACGGGTCCCTATTTTGAGACACACCAACATGTTCTTCATTCATATGGGTGTCTGTTTGTTTCGAGGGTTCCCTGTTGAGGGTCTTTCTTAAGGGAACCAAAAAAAAACACGCTTAAAACGGGGTTCTCCTATTCGACGCACTCCCATATGTTTCCTCAAAGGACTGAGGTGTGGTGTAGACGCGGCATGTGCAGGGGCTGTCAAACTGGAACACTTTTGGAAATGATTTCCTGCAAGGGAGCCATGAGAAGGTTGTATTGTTTCAGGAAGGATCGAAAAGGAAAGGAATCTGTCTCAGACAGTTTGTTTTATAAAAACACAAAGCGGCCCTTCTGCTTTAGGGAGTGTTCAAACGAGGATTGACCTGCTGTGCTCTCCCATCCAGCTGGCAACCAACTCCCACCAGAGCAGCTGAATCTGTTTTGGTCTTTCAACGCCTGAGTCAGAATCAACACCTGGCATTGCAAGTATTCATGGTTCACCAAATGCCCCAAGACCCAGGGCGAAGAATCTAAAGTGCGATGAGCATTGGCAATGTAAGCAAAAATGAAGTAGGAGCTAGAAGTAAAACTATGAAGGAACCAGAACAAGAGCAAGAACAAGAATGCACACGAAAGCGAGAACGAGAACGAGAATAAGAATGAGCATGCAACTAAGCGAGAACAAGACCATGAACGAGAGCGAGAATACGTCCTACCAGGAGGAGTTGGGCAAGCACAGGCCCCCCCCATTCAGGCTTCTTGAAATAAAAGGCTCCGGAAACATGAAGAGCCAGCCAAATAACAAGGTGGTGGACAAAGCAATAACGAAAAACTGTATTCGACAAGAATCAGTCCGGATAGATGACTTTGCTTTTGACGAAGAAATGTGGGCTTGATTTTTCTGAAATCCAATGCAACAGAACTATAACATGTATAAATATACTATACATATACACACATCAATAAAATTCAAGTCGAGTTTCAAAAGATACCCGATGGTATGGATCTACAAAAAACAACTAGAACCAAAACGGGAATACAAACGAATGCGAAACACCCAAAACGGCAAAAGCCACATGGCCGCGCCTGCCACTTCCATGACCCCGGTGTTGGCCACATGCTTGAGACGCATGTCGAAGGCCTGGGCTGCCCCCTCTGGCCTTCGCAAAGTGCATAGGAGGTTTTACGGAGAAAGAAAAAAAAAAAAAACGACGTCCTCGTCGGCCGGTAAAAGCAAGGTGGTCTTGTTTTGAACCCTTCAAAAGCCCGAGCTTTTGGTTTAAGTGCTTGTCTACTTTGACCCGATGCTCCTTCGGACCGCTTGGACAACCCATTTCTGGGCCCAAATTGGGTCTTGGGGCTGCTGATACTCTGATTGAAAAATAACCACAAAAGCAGGGCTGAAGCCCAGTTTGACAGTTTGACTCATGGGTTTGGCGCTTGGCTTCATGTTGGCTCAGTCGTCCCAAAAAAGGGTGCCTTTTGAGACACGGCAAACTATTGTGGGACAAGTATTAAGCATTGCTCAACATATGAGCGTATGACCCGCTCCAAGTATAATGACTGAAAAACAAAAATACCGAACCAACGGTATGCTTGCTGGAGCTTGGACTCGGTAGATTTCGCCCGGGCTAGCATGGGCTGTGAGCCACTTTTGCTAGTTCTAAAAGCGTGATTATTCAAACGGGTCGGATGTTGAATTAAAGATCAATCCAAAGAGCGACAACATGCCTTCCAAATGTACCAATGGCTTTTGAGGCCCCGAAAACCTTCGGGGAGATCCTTTTTGTGGAGGGCGTTGAGGGTTGAGCCAAACTTCCCGCAAGGCGATGCTCCCCTTGCTCTCTGCAGGTGGGACTGGACTTGAAACGGGACAACACCAGGATTCAAGTAAAATCAATTGATGAACTGGAATCACTGGAAAACTTGAAAAGGATAAAACTTCAAAGGGGTTTGATCAATCACTGAAAAAGTGACACAATTGGAGCACCGGAAAAGTGGAAAGGTAGAACCCATTGGATTGCAGCGGGGTGAAGGCAGATAGCACAATTCGAGGTAGGTCTGGGTAAGTGAAGCGGATGACGGTTCCGCTTTGTTGGGATCCACGACCCTCCTTTGTGGGTTCGAACCGCTAAAAATGTGCCGCATTGCGCACAGACTCCTCCGAAGCATTGGTTCACCTGTCGTAGGAAAATCAGCCAATGGTTTGCGAAAGATGCATGGGGCTGCTCGTGCCAGTTATAATTTGAGCTGCCGAAATTGGTGTAGTGTAATGTTTAAGTGGGAAACATCGGAACATAGGTTGGTAGAATAGATGGGCCTGGTAAATGGGATAAAACCCAATCTGACCAGCAAAACCCATCTCTTTCCAACCAAACTAACCTAAAAAGGACGCCTGTGCTCACTGGTCTAAGGGAAAAACTAGCACAACTTGGCAACTCCGGAGGCAACTCGGACCCCGTTGTGTCTTGCCGCGTCGGCTCTATGGAAGCTCCGCAAATGAGCCAGCAACTCTTCCCTCGAAAACCAGCTGGGCCAAGGTCTGGGCGTTCGCCAACCATCCCCCGGGCTTCAGAGAGAACTGGCCCCGGTAAAGCCTCGGAGCCGAACGGACCCACCCGGATCCACTGGAAATGGAACCTCCAAAGGGATTGATTTCCTTTTGTCCACTTAAAACCGCTACAAGGATGGGTATGTTTGGTTTGAGGCCGGAAGGCTTTTGGAAGGTTGGGAGAACCAAAAGAAGCCCAACGTTCTCTCTCCGTAGTGCGAGAAAAGGGGCACTTGAGATTTTAACTTTGTGAGGCATCCCAGAGAAAACAGAACAAAGTCATTGAATGATTGCGCAGAGCAACGAGAAACCAAAGGATTGATCTCCCCCCGCGCGGCCCCGCCTGGAAATCGCGGTGTTGATACACCTAACCCCAATTCTTTCATGCGAATCCCACCAACGTTAGACAGGGAAGACAAGAGTTTCACGTCCCGGGCCAGGAGGTGGGTAGCCAAGACGGCTCTGCCCTTGTTCAAACAGTCCTGCCCCAACGGTACCCAAAGAAAATGAGTGGGAAAAAGATGGATTTGCATCTGCACACATTGCCCAGGCCAAAGATCAGAAACATCCTCATTGAAAGCCAACACCAGCATAGGATCTTATCACCGCCTTACCAAAGAAAGGCCGAACCATGTGGATGATTCTTTCTCTAGGCACAAACCACAAGCCCGTGAGGTAAACAAGCCACAAGCAAGTGTCCCTCTTACAACCCATGGTTCGTAGTTAGAAGGGGGAAAAACCGCCTCTGGCCTTTTAAAGCCAGTCTCAAATCAGGCCTCCAGGCCTCCAGGATGTGATTTTGGGGAGACCCGTTGGGTTGGAAGGCACTATCAAAGAAACCGGGGCTCCCAAGTAGCTAGTGGAGACAGGATACAACCTGCCAGCCCACCCAATAACCTCGGTCCAAGAGACCTTCGAGCGATCCTGAAGTGAACATCGTGGAGGGGTTGCTATGCTCGACCTGCAACAAGGATAGAGCTTTTGGGCTTGCCTACAAATGGGGAAACCCAAAGCATGGGAGGGGTATTCTAAATTCCCCCAAATGACCATGGGTTACTTGTCCCATGGGAATTATAATCTTGGTGGTTTCCCCCAATGGTCGTCCTACGCAAAGGACCTTTGGATCAACCCCCATACAAACCAACCCAAAAGAAAGGCTACCCTCCGGGCAAGTGGTTGGAGCCGCCTCCCCACCCACCCCTTTGCGCTTCCAGGTGGCATTTGTCCGGCTCCGAGCTCCTCCACAAAGCCCGGCGTGCGCACGAAGCGGTTCCTCACGCCGAGCTTTCGGCAACGCGGCGAACCGCTCACCAAAGCTGACACTCCTTGGGCGCAAACCAAAGACCGACTTGCCCCACGGTTTAGTCCTTGGTTTGATTTCCCTAGGGGAATGTGGCCGGCTCCAAGACCGCTGAGGGTGTTGGGGGGTTCGAGGGAGCAAGAAGACATGAGCTGTTGCTTCTGAGTGACAGTTGAGAATCAGATGGAACTATGACAATCTCCACTTGCCCTAGGATGGTTGAATTTATTTCCGTCCTATGCAGATTATCTGGCGCAACGGCCCTCGAAACTCTGCAGCCGCCCGTCCTTCTGCAGCCTATAAGTGCAGTTGTCTTGCGGGTCAAAACCAACTTAAACCAAAAGAATGAGGTGGTGGGAGACGTTAAGTCAACTTCAGCCATGATGGGAGCAAAATGTTAGGACTTGCTTGGCCGAATCACCACCGGCTGAATGTACAGGTGGTTTTCACTGGTAGTCAATCAAGGACCCCGTGAGTCATGGAAGTTCACGTTTCAAAATAAGGGTTCCCTAAAATGGGAACCTTCACTCATGGGTGAGGTCGCACCTCCCCCCTTTGTACAGCTACCCTCAAAAAACAACATGCCCAACTTTGCGCAATCGATCAGACCCAAAAGCACGGGACCATTCTCTCTTCATGCTTCTGTTAACAAACAGGAGCCCCCGGTTCAATTTCAGCCTGTCTAAACATCACCTTTTGGTCACTTCTTCAGATGATGCTTCAACCTCCCACTGGGGCCTTGGACGGTCCACTTCAACTCTCGGGAGCCCCGGCCCCAACCCCGCGGGTCCTGAAGTGCGCGTGGCCTTCTCCATCGAAGGTGACGGCTGCCACCTCGGAAACGGAAGGCGTCTTTTCGGGAACACCCCAAGAGGGGTGAGTCAGACGAATCTACCGGGTACAGGAAAGTGGTTGGCCCCTTGGTTTGCCTTTGAAGCAAACCCAGAAAGAAAAGATTTCGTTTGTCTTTGACTTGAGGGCAACCTCCTTGTTGGGTTGATCGAACCTAAAGGGGGGGAGTTGCGTATCGAATGTTCCAAATGGGATCTGGCGTGGCTCTGGTGTCATTCTGATGTGAAAGCACAAGAGAATGTCTTGTTTGGAAGGTTTGACAGAATCCGTTTAGGCAACCAGCCTTCGGCGTAAGCCTAGGCCTACGATAAGCCCGCAATTCCCTACTAACTCATGTAGCCCCCCCTCCCTCCTAGCCGGTTCATGAATAGGAACTGGATCCATGTTGGGCATTGTGATTCCACGTGCCACTTTACTAGGGAAGACAAAGACCTGAATCCTGAAGATGAAAAGGGCATGCAGCTGTGTCTTTGGTTTCAAAGGGAAACCAAAAGGACCACCATTCTGGGGGTCTTTTAAAACAGGCACCCGTGCAGAAAAGACCCCGGCACCGAGAAGAGCCTGCGCAACCGGAACCTCATGCAAATCAGCCCAGCCAAGACGCGCCATATAGCACATGAATTGCTGCACTCACAGGGCGTTTCCTAGGTGCCACAAGATGGTTGTGCCCGCCACGCAAAGTGTTTGCTTTTCTTCTGGCGCTTTAAATCGTTGCGCCTAAAACAAGGCTCGCAAGCCCAGGGTTCTGTGGTTGCTTTAAAGGGAAACAAAAAGGAAGACCAAGGGTTCCGTCAAAAAGACACGAACCATGTGTTTTTGTTTAATTCCGGATTCGTGGAACCCGGAAGGGTAAGGTCTTAGGGCGCCGCCATACCGTCAGCGTCGAAGGGATGCTTGATGACATCCTCCCCCACCTGGATGGGTCTGTGTGTGTGTGTGCGTGTGCGTGCGCGTACTGTGTTCTACTTGGGTACTTTGATTGGCCAAGTTAGTAAGTTGTCGGTAAGCCTAAGCAGGGGAAACGTTGTCATTAGGGTAAGTTATACACCAAGTAGTTAGCCACTTGCCTTGGTTTGCTGGGAAACCAAACAGAAACCCAGCCGGAAAGCAAACTGTGGGGCTCACAATGGCCAATTTTAAGCGGCTTTCAGGGTTCCAATGGCACCTGGGCTTAGGGTACCTTCGTTTTGGCTTAAAGGGAAGCCAAAAAGAAAGCAACCCATGAGCTATTTTTACACATATACATTTCGAGTTTCGGTCACAACTGCTCTTTGTGTCTTGAAAATTCTGGAAACCCTCCAAAACTCTGGGGTTCTCCCAGTCAAATTTTCCACTTAGAATTTGGCGTCAGAATGATGCTAACCTCCAGTCCATTTGGCGTCTTTCGGTATGGCGGGAGGGCAACCGGAGGGCAACCGGAGGGCAACCGGAGGGCAACCCACGGGGCCGGGCGGCCAAGCGGTTTCAAGATTTCAAGACATCCAGAAGTTCTGAAGGGGTCCCATATGGCTGAAAAAGGGCAACTTAAAATAGGGATCCTTCGGCTTTCCTTTTGGCTTCTCTTGAAAAGCCACAAAAAGGAGGTGCCGGCCTCAAAAAAGACGAGCCCTGCCAAATGGACCAAAACCGGTCCAAAGCTGAGATGTGGTCGATCCTCCTACCTCCCTGCTTTCCGTTCGAAAAATCGCGGACCTGAGCGGCGTCGGAGGCCGGGCTTGAACCTCTTAAGACTTGTCGCCTTGTCGCCTTGCTGTGTCGCACACGCCAGTTGGGTCTTTTGAAGTGGGAGTGTTCAAACCAAAGGGTTGGTTCTTTACCCTAATCAAAAAGAACTGGAGCGCCCTTTTTCAGCCCCTTTCACACTGCCTGATTCTCTCAACCTGGTCCGGACCTCCCTTTTGGCTACACATCCTCAGCCTCGAAATGGTGTGGACCCTACTGGAGTCAAAGGTACACCAAGATTGGGAACACTGGTGCTGAAAGTGAAAAAGAACTGGAAAGGGGCCATCCTCTTTTCCAGGAGTCCAAGCTTTTGGCGTGAAATGGAAGCGGGAACCCTGAAACTGGGGAACCGCTTTGGGTTGATGGGCCATTGACAGGGAGAAAAGAGAAGACGACGACGACACCAGTCCTTGGCCCTAGCATGGACCCGTACATTGCCCCCAATTAGTTTAGTTTGGCCACACATCCCTAGCAGACGTGAGCGGCGCCAAAGGGAGACCAATGCAGAAGATCCTATTTCCTCTTTCACACAAGCAAATGGAGACCTGGGAAGGCGTTTCCGAAATAAGATGACAAAACAGTAACGGTAGAAAAGTGTTGCATTTGCAACTGGTTGCTTCAGGTTGGCTGGCATGGCTTCGTCCCTCCAAAACCCCAAAACCCCCCTCCCCACGTCTCATCCCCAAACCCACAAACCCCCAAAACCCCAAACTGCCGCACTGAAAACCTCCCGCCTTCAGCTTGGCTGGGCCGTTCTTGAAGTACGTGCCTCGCAGGTCCTTGGGCAGGTCCTCGATCCGCTGATCCGCTTTTCCACGGCTCGCTCGCTCCCAAAGGCCCGAAGGCGAAGAAGCATGCCTACGATTCCCAAAGGCCAAGATTTGTTGAAAGGCCAAAGTTGGAAAGCACCCGTTTTCTGATAAGACCCTGACCCTTCTGCCAGCTGAGTTGAAAAGGAAACCCCTGAGGGCAAAGCTCGCAAATGTTCCAAAGTGGATGTGAGGGGGAAAAAAAGGAGCTGCAACCCTGGAACAATTAATGTTCGCCAGGGAGCTGAGCATCATGTTGTGCTTCGTCCAGTTAACGCGCTGATTGCTGGGAATTACCTGCGCTATGTATTTTGACCCGGGAGGATGATTGCACGACACATTTGACAATCTGATCAAAGTTCTTACTGCCGTTAGTGATAGATCAAAAAGGGCGAGCGCCGGACATCCTCTGGCGGCCCTGCAGGGACTACGGCAATGGCAATGTCAGATGCGAGGCTGCCAATAAACGCGCTTTTATAGGGCAATCACCCTGCAAAAACGCAGTGCCCGTAGACAAGCATTGCGCCTCGTTCTTTGGTGCTGCATTTGTGCGTGTTTGTGGTGGGCTCCCAGGCAACTAGTTGCTCTTAGTTTAGGGAACAAGGTAGGCCGCCTCCGATTCTGCACAAAGGCCAGGGCGCGCATTTTCTGGTGGTACGGGAGAATTGAGGTGAGGTAAGCTAAGCTAAGTCTGGCAGGCAGGTGCTGAACTATGACGAATGGTCACCGCTGGTTCGATCAAGACTGGCGTGTGATCGAACTGCTGGTGCACCTAGCAACCCCAACCAGAATCTAGTCTACTGGTAGAATATGGGATCTTTTTCGGGATTGACGATTTTACCAGAGAATCTGCCAAACAAGACGGGGGAAAACTAAGTGCCAGCAAACAACTGGAAAAAAGCTGGCGTGCGCAGAAGTATCATCTGGTAAATTATGTTCCATACTGTTGGACGAAATCCTGATCAGTAGGCAGTTGGTTTCTCTCAGACTGTTGCTTGGCTTCATGAATCCCCAGTGGTGCCGGATTTTGTGTCCATGCACAGCATTTCGGATTCTGCTCATGGAATTATCTCAAAATAGGGCAGCCCCCCAAAAAGGGGTACCCTCAAAAGAAGACGCACCGCATCAAGAGAAATCCACTCATCAAGGCCGGTCCTCGGAGTACAGGCTGCAGCACTGCTCGCTGGTGGCCTCAGTTTTTTCGAGGCCGACGTTGGGTCGCTCTTCCATTTGGCTGTGGCTCAAAAAACCGGTACCAAAATGGAACCCCGGTAAGTGGAAACATTGACCAACACCTGCGTAACCCCTCCTGTTTAATTTTGAGCCACACCCATTTGGCTGCGTCTTTTTGTGGGACATCTGCCCGCCAAAAAAAAGATTGCTTGCGGTGTTCCGCTTGGATTCCCCTTGGAAGCCATCAAAAGGGGTACCCTCAAGAGACAGATTTACCTTCTCGTCCCCTGAAAATGAGAACATATGTCCACTAGTGATAGAGTCCCTTTTAAGCTGTGTGTGGTCTCATCTTGGAGTTTGGGTGTGTGTGCTTTTGGACGGTATCACTTTCATCCTGCTTCAAAAGCAAAAACCAATTGTGACACATACCCCGATTGTGACACATACCCGGTTTGGGGAAACATTGCGAAGAGGTTAGGGGTGGGGGGTGCAAGAATCGCCTTGCGTGCCCTGATTCTACACTGGTTTCGACCCCCAAACCACTGGGTGCGACTAAAAAGCCACATGAAGGGTATAGACCCCAGTTTCGCCTGGGGATAGTTTGGATTGGGGGTGGGAAGCCATCTTTCGACGAACTCGTTGAGGTCCCGCTTCACCAAGTCGGAGTCAATCGGAGTCCGCCGGCAGGTGTTCCCTTGCGCACAGGTCCCGGCATCTCCCTTGGCTCAAGCACACGTTGCTGTCGAACCCGACGCGTCCCATCCACCTGCGACCCATTGCTGGCCTCGTTATGTGGACCCTATCTGGGTTGCTTTAGGTGTACCCTCTATGGTGCGCAGGGGCCCTTCAGAGGTCTGACTTCTCGCCGCCCACAAGGCACCAATCAACAGTAGCAAGTGTGGGAGTGCGATCGCTGGAGTTTCCAATTGGAGGACCTCCAACAGGAAACTAGCCTTCCCACACCTTCTCGTCAGTTCCATTTTTTGGAGGGGGTATGAATCCCAGCTTTGATAGGGCGTGCTCTCAAAAGTGCTTGGCGGGCATCATGTAAATTATGCATTCATTAAGGCATGCTTCTCAATCGCCCGAATCCTTAAAGGACTAAATTTGACTAAAGCAATCCGCAAGGATACCACTCCAGCCAAAATGGTGCTTTTCTTGGGTTTCCCCTCGACCAAACCAAACCAAGAACAGCTTCCCCCCTCCGAATCCTGAACGGACCTGGGCCCCGAGCCGAGCTGTAGCCCTTCACGTAGGCCTAGAGGCTGGTGCAGAGTTGGGTGGTTTTTGTTTACGCCGTGGAAGGGAAAGGGAAAAAGGTCGAAACGACGGGAGCAAACCCATCAAGCTACCTGGGTGTTCAAGAGGCAAATGTCCCAGTGGGTCATATCCATGTTTACCATCTACCTTCTTTTGTAGCCGCATGCCCCAGAAAGGAGGGGATCCCTTCGATGTATTTGTTCGAAGTTGGTTGCCCGTGTGACACCATGCCCATGCCCAAACTTCTCATAGCAAAGCATTGACGCGCTACTGCTGCAATGCATGCAATCAAGAAAGCACAAGACAACCACAATGCAAGCAAAATCCAAACATGCCAACCACAAGCAAATGCTCCCATCAACCCGTCACTCTCATGCTTCCGCACTCTTTTGTCCGTAGATCGGGTTAGTGCCAATTGGGAGCAAAAGGATGGGCATGGGCCTGCCACTCATGAAACTGATGCAGACCGATCATCAGCCGGGTCTGCAAAATTGCTCCCCCCCACCGGATGCCCTCCCGGCATCATGGGTGGGGCACACTAGCCGCAGTACCGTGGGGAAAATGTTTCACTGGAGCGGCGGGTAGATCCGGCTGTCGACCGGGAAATTTGGGTCCGGATGAGTAAGTTCATCCGCCCATTGGTTGAGGTCCCGTTTGATGTGAGAGGGACCGAGAAGGAGATCATGACGGTACATTACCGATACAATCTCCATGAGTATGGCCGCCAAGGGCATTGCCTTGGCGGACGCATTCAAAAGCGAGAAAACATTCCCTTGGTTGTCGCTGGCGACCAATAAACGCGTTCCCCCTACTGCACCTTTGGCACAGTGGAGGACTGTGTGGATTAAAAGTAGCAGGCCGAAGGGTTGAGCTGGTGCTCCCGGAATCAGATCAGTGCAGAAAGGGGGTCTTCGCCCAATCTTTCTCCTTCCCCTGGGCGACACACCCTCGGCCTCTGTGGCCGCGCCTTGGGATGCCCCGGACGAGCTGGTTCGGTGTGCCCCCTCTAACCTCTCGGCCCGGGTCAGTGCCCGTGCCCAGAGGCTCTTGGGGTCCCCCTGGTGCCAGGCGTGCGCCCCCTCACTGGCGTGTGGGCGCCCCTGGCTTGGGAATGTGCCGAAGGATGGACTGACGTGCGCGTACTTCACCTTCGCGAGGTAGAACGCCTCCACGATGCGCTCCAGGCCACCCCGCGTCATGTGCTCCAAGTTGAACCCCGCGAAAAGGCGCTTGACCTCCTCAAGCACCATGCGCTTGAGGCGGGTAGCGCAGGTGGCCCCAAACTCCGGCAGGACCACATCCCATTGCTTGGGATCCACCTTGAAGACGCCGTCCGCCACCTTCAGGGCCGAAGGCACCCGGGCATCACTCTCACCAACCAGGGGGGCAGCGGCCGAAGAGGAAGAAGTCGCGGCCACCTCCACCGGGGGAGGGAGCCTGTCGGGGCCGAAGGCACCCGGGCGTCACCCTCAGCCGGCGGGGCGGCCATGTCCGCATCCGCGGGGTTGTCCGCCCCTCAACCTCCATGGTGTCCACCTGGTCCTCCGAGATCCGCGGGCGCTTGGGCAGCTGCTCCGCGTCGGTGAAGGCCAGGTCCTCGGCCGCGGACATGAAGTGGTCGGAGGAGCGAGCGAGCGTCCTCCGGCTCCGAGGCAAGAACTGCCCATCTCATCCTCCTTCTTCACAATCTTCGCCAGGTATCGCCTGACAGGATCAGCCGCGCGAACCTTTGCCGAGGCGATGTCCGCAGCGTACTTGGGGGCAAACAGAGAGGAAGACATGGCAGAGAGGAGTTAAGGGGAATTTTTGTCACAACTTACAGGTTCAAGTAAGAAGGGCAGCTTGAGCCAAAATGTGGCATCAAGCTGTTGTCTCTGACAAGTTAGTTCAAGTGTGCATCTGCGATTCCACTTCTGCCCAGTCTTGACGGTTCCCAGAGCTTCCACCCCGTCGCCCACCCTTGGTTTTTCGCGGCGTGTGGTCACCGCACACCCAGCAAAGAATCAACGACCCATGATGTTGGAAGCGGCTCATATCGTTTTTGCTTCCGCAACCACTTTCAGCCTATCATTGTTTGCTTTGGTGATAGGCTCAGCCCATCATCCAACGCATCTTTGCAGGAAAATCCCAAGAAGCAACTCCAGTCAGCTTCCACTCGAGGAAAGTGTCGACGCTGATGACCAAGAGCAAACCGTTTGCAAAGCCTTCTGAACAACACAATCCTGAGTGTCAACAACTCGCCAACCGCGCCGTGAGAACAGGCTTCACCATGGTCCAATCTCCTTCTCATTTGCGCAGATACTTGGCATTCTGTGAATGGGAGGTTCTGGACATGCTCCCCGATCTAAATGTGTTTCGATCAAGACACATATGACCCTCCTACAAGGGGTGAAGTTCCAATTGCACCCAAAGCAACAGGAAAACAAGCTCCGGCCATCAGACACCCGGAATCGAGCATGACCCTTTGAAAGAGGCTCCAGCCACAGCCGCAAACAAGCCCAGGCGGTATCCCCAACCACTTGGCGTCCGGTATTGCAGTAGATGCCACGCGAATGCGGCAAGTAAATTTTAAGGTAGGCACTGTTACCCACCCCTGCATGGAAAATGTGCCTGGCCGCCCAAACCCGTTGCAGAAGACCCTTACTGCTTGAACCTATTGTGCAACTAAAGCCGACATGTTCCCGGGGGGGTGGCTGAGGGGGTGTGCTCCCACATGGTTTCTCGCAAACTTCTCCTCACCCCTTCCGCTTCCCACTTGGTGGTTTACAACCAAATCGGTGGTTTGGAGGTGTTCCGGGGTGGTTTCCAATTTACCCAAGAACCAGGGGTTCAATTTGCAAACCTCCAATCCAAGCCACCCAAAAGGGTTTCCTGACTGCATGCATTCTTTGGGGCATCCAACACCGCAGGGCTTGCGAACGGCGCAACTCAGCTCCCAAGAACTTCGCCCGGCCTCCTGGTCGTAGCCCCAGCGATCTGTGGTTTCCACAGCAGCCTGGCGGCAACAGTATCGTCCAAATTGGGGCATGTGTCAAAATTGGGATCCAAAAACGGAGAGCTCTTCTGTTGGTTTCCCGTAGGCCCAGGTATCCCCAGCACTGGAACCCCAGCTGTTGATGCACTTAGGCCCGTATTGGCAAACGGCCTTCCTTTCGGACGGGGTGGCAGCTCTGCACGAAAAAGACATGTTTGCCTGCCTGTGTTCTGGGTTTTGAGCGTAACCTTTTGGGCTGGTGTCAGGTGAAACCAAAAGCAAAACCATCATGCGTTGAGTTGTTTTGACAAATACCCAGATGTGTGTGTGTGTGTGTGTGTGTGTGTGTGTGTGTGTGTGTGTGTGTGTGTGTGTGTGTGTGTGTGTGTGTGTGTGTGTGTGTGTGTGTGTGTGTGTGTGTGTGTGTGTGTGTGTGTGTGTGTGTGTGTGTGTGTGTGTGTGTGTGTGTGTGTGTGTGTGTGTGTGTGTGTGTGTGTGTGTGTGTGTGTGTGTGTGTGTGTGTGTGTGTGTGTGTGTGTGTGTGTGTGTGTGTGTGTGTGTGTGTGTGTGTGTCTGTGTCTGTGTCTGTGTCTGTGTCTGTGTCTGTGTCTGTGTCTGTGTCTGTGTCTGTGTCTGTGTCTGTGTCTGTGTGTGTTGTGTGTGTGTGTGTGTGTGTATGTGTATGTGTGTGTGTGTGTGTGTTTGTGTGTGTGGGTGTGCGTCTGTGTCTCTGTGTGTGTGTGTGTCTGCGTGCGTGGGTGGGTGTGTGGCTGTGCGCGTGTGTGTGTGTGTGTGTGTCAGTGTGTGTGTGGCTGAGCGCTCATGTGTGTGTGTGAGCGTGTGTGTCAGCGTGTGTGTCAGTGTGTGTGTGTGTGTGTGTGTGTGTGTGTGTGTGTGTGTGTGTGTGTGTGTGTGTGTGTGTGTGTGTG